AAGTTTGGATTTTAACAATAAAAACCTCAACCTGACAGAATAAACAGATTAATTGAAACATACCTGTGGAGGAAACGAAGCAGCAGCAGAGCAGAAACGCAGCGATGCTGACAGCAGAAGCCATCTTCTTCACTGTTCTCATCACATTCAGCTAAAAAGAACAGCCTCTTTCCATTATCGAGGTTATTTCCTGTCAGAGCGCAGTAACATCACATATTTTATGTGTGTGTGTGCCACCGTACACGCACGTGTGTGCGCATATATGGTTTTGAAAGGAAGTGATCCAAGAGGCCTCATCTGCTGTCACAGATAAAGAACAAAGCAAGCCAAGCAAATGTCACACTTAGAAGACAGAGTGCATCTTTTTTTAGTTTGAGTTCAGCAGTATAAATATATCTGTGATCTCCTATTAGAGATGTTCAAAAGGTAACCAGAAGTTCAAACACCAAACTGCTAAAATATGGGTAGCAGGTGAAATTGTAAAACTTAAAACAAAAGCAAGTGAGAAATATAAAAGCTCATAAAACCATGAGTGAGTATGTAATATGACAGTTAAAGTTATGTAAGAACACATTATATCTGCATTTGTTTCCAGTTAAACACCTGCAGTTAAAAGGTTGAAACTGTAATCATGTGGAGGCTTAAAGCTCTTACCTCTGAGGGTTTGCCACGGTCAAAGGTCAGACAGCCGCCATCACTGCACACGTTTTACCTGCAGATACTCCTGCACGTACACGTAAATGAGAGCTGTGCATTTGTATTTGCACAAGTCCATGTTGCCTTTGCACCACTGCCCTGTCACAGGGAAAAGTTCAAGATGCTGAATTGATTAATCTTTGTAGAGGTGAGACACTTTCCCCCTCATAATGTTAAGTCCCTGTTGGATTTTAATAAGACTTTAAAATGTAAATCTTTTTGTTGTCCACTTTTTGGAAGCTAACATCAAATTTGAGGGTTTTTTTAGTGATAGGAAAAAACAACCATCCACCATCATACAATATATGTTTATTTTTACTCCAGACTGTGGGTAAGGCTTCAAAAATTCTTCCTCCTACGTTTCCCATGATGCCATGGAACTCAATGACCGCTTTTGTTTTACCATCTCTGCCGATTCCTATAAGAGATGAAGGTAGCAGCTAAAATCGTATTATTATTTATTATTAATCTTATTTGCATGTGCAGTCCCTTTGCAGGTTACATGCAAAAGATCACAAAAGTGCCACATAAAAAGTAAATCACAAACCCCCCCTGCACGTTCATTTAGCTACTCTGTCATAAAAACACAAAATGCTAATGTGTTAAAGAAAGTATAGATTTTAGTAGACTTATGTTCTTAAATATACTGTTCTTCTTAGACACCATGCCCAAGTTCCAGTCTCCCATCACACTAGAACTCTACGGGGTGCGAAGCAACATCTCCGTCTCACTCGGACTTTTACATTTGAAGCTGCTGAGTAAAGAACATATCGCACATGCAGGTATCTATGGGCGAAGATG